TCACGGGGTTGAAACAGTTACACAGTGTGTTGTAACGCTTTCGTTGCACAGTACAAGATTAATTCTATTATAAAACACAAATAACTATAAAATGGTTTATCTGAAACTCATTAGTGCAATCAGTTCATAGATGAGTCAGTTTGAACCGTGGACACACTCCAATTGACCTGACGTCTAAACCGTAACGCCATTACCACCAATTGATCGGCACAGTCCAGAATTATAAAACAAGCTAGCGGGGGTTTTTCGTTGGGAGACCGTAGAGTTCTGATCCAAAATTTTCTTTAGGAGAAGGAAATGGACCAAAGCCAGCACCAGTTCTTGCCACAGTGTCCGATTTCCTAGTATTTTACACAGGGTCATTAAACTTTCCACACTGGCTACCTTAGAGTTTAAAACGTGACGCAATTTGCCCATTTTAATTGAGGTGCCGTCGTTAGTCAAGAATAAGGATTGGCAATTGGATGCATGAGTGGCCACAGCCCGCAGAAGTTTTTTGCAATTAGCTTTGTTAACATGGAAGCCGTTATTTAATGGATTCTCACTTTGAGGACACGAATGAGTTTAGGTACAAAGGTTTTTGCAGTACTGAAATTTTCGATTACACTAACAGTATGACGTTATTAAACGGATGCCAAGCCAACATGAATCTTGAAGTGGTTGGGATAGCGAAGTGGGCAATTTAAATTCTTTCGAAATCTGAATCATACTCATATTTCAAAATAAACTTACAAGTATCACAGTTTTCGTTTTATTCACATAAAATTAAAATATTGAAACCATACAAACCTCTCAGTCACACAGCAAACATCAATGTACTGGCAGGCTTTTGTTTGCTAACGGTAGTTTTATTACCTAGTATACGGATTTTATGCAACTAAACGCAGCATTTAGATCTTCGCATCACCTGTACAATTAATTCAACAACTGTATATGATGAATACTGCTAAAAATATGGAAAACCACACACAAGACCTACAGGTCTATCCATCAAAGTTAGGTTCGATATCTGGTAGACGCGTCACACAAGCATCTGCTAATAGATCAAAATCAACCTACGCGTATTATGAAATCAAAACTGATTGACTGTTCTTGAGAAAGAGAATGATAATACTTTGTATACTTGTGTAAGTAAACAATTGACATCGTTTTTCCGATGATGAGATAAAAACGAAGCTGACCGAAATTTCGCACACAAATGCTCATCACGTTACATGCATTTCATATTGGGTGTACCCGTATAGGACGTGGTCTAATCTCTTGACAANTTAAGCGTGTAAATTTCCATGTGCTGTGAACACTTTGAATATAGTGGAGTTTGTCAGGGATAGAAAACACTTATCAGGTACAATTTTTCCTTCGCGATGAATTCGGTACGTTTACTTAACGTCATAACCATATCCAGCAGCGTTGGTGTTTTACATTCCTGGATTCGTAAATTCACAATCAAAATGTCGGGGGCAGAAGAAAGATCTTTTTATTAGTCGGTAAAGCGAAAGTAGTTGGTTTGTGCCAGCTTGACCTTATTTATTGTCATTTGTATCCATAGATCATGAATCATGGATTTCTTGCAGCCAAGAGTAGGAATTGTAAGATTTCGGAAATCACAAAGACTGCACGAGAGCCCGTTGAAATTCTCACTATTCGATTTATCCATTTGATCACCAATCGCATGAATGTGTCTATTAGGAGCTATCATGAGCTGTTGATAACTTACCAAACAGAAGAGACAGAACTGTTGAATTAGTGTTGTGCAGACCTGAAGTGGTCAAATGTGGGCCAAGTGGCACATGGTGTCCGACAATTCCGATTTCCTACCAACCCCAAGTCGTTCTCTATCTTTGGCTCTCGCCTACTACACACGCACATACCATTATCTTCACTGTAGTTCGGATAAAAATGCATCAATCAACAATAATTACGGTTAATGTTTGGCACTGCGGAAGAACTATTTAATCCAGCGTCTATCGTTCGACTCTAATGAGTGACAGTCGAGAGATTGTGTGATCAATCATTTAATAATTATCGCTAGACAGACATTTCATATTTCATAATTTTTTATCAAAAATTTTGAGCATATTCGGATAATCGATACCAAATCACCAGTTCTCTTCGACAAACACGACTTTACTTTACTTCGTGTCTAGGCTGTACAGTCGCTTTATCAATCTTTTAACTTGATGGCAAAATCTTTGATTGATGATCGACTTGGCTCCATTGCTAGCCGTTCGTCAGATTGTTTTTATTTAGTCGTGAAAAAAGTGTAACTCAAATGATTTGACGTTGATATACTTGGAATAGACGCACAAACTATTAGCCAACCAAATCTAGTGTTATTCAGTCATTCCGATAAGCTGTTGTGCTGCAAACAGCATCACAGAAAAACCATTATATGAATGACAAGTCAAGTCATATAATGAGTGAGACAATTAGGCATGTCAAATAGTCTATACACTTTCGCAGGTGATCTTTATCAGTAAAGGAAAAACTGACTTTCTCAGTCCAAGCTACATGAACTTGTTTCGTGGTGATATATATATATATATATATACGCTAGCAACTCGTTAGAAATTTTGCCGTTGAAGAATGAACTGAGCTCACGAAGCCAAAAATACACTACGAGGGTGATTCGTAGTGCTAGTTATAATGGTGCTTCGGTAGGCTACTAATAGTCAAATGTTTGGGGTGTGCTCCACGAGAAGTCAACAGTAGTCGCGTTTAATTTTATAAAATCAATTATTTAGTACTACTGAAGTAAGTCTTGAGGTAACGAATTTAGTCTTATGATAAATGGTAGTGATTTACAAACACTCGTGTTACGTAGTGCGCACTAGATGAAATGCACGTAGGTCAATGATCCGTTGGTTCTCCTCGGTTCCGTATTGCGTTATCCGACATTTAAGGCGTTGAGTTCACCAATTTTTAGAAGTAAAATTTGTTTATGTGGTTTTTCATTGCTTCTCAGACAATGACATTCAAAGTGCGAATAAATCGGAGCATGGTAAAACCACTTTCAACCGCACTGAGGTCTGGACTGCTAGTCATCAACTGTATCGATTTGAAGGTTTAAAATAAACTGCTTCACCTACCTTGTGGTCTTTGTGTCGTTGCAGGTCTGTTAGTGGATCCATGGAAGACGGAATAGAACATCTCGATCGCAAAAGAAGCAATCCAGTGAGTGTCCTCCACCAGATGAGCCCAGTGAATACATATGCGCTGTACTGACGCATGCGAACGTAACCTGAAAGTTGTTTCGCCATTTTTCACTTTGGTTAATCAACTAAGGGTAAATAATGTTTTGCATGTATCTTTTTAAGCATGTATCTTTCGAGCTTCGGAATAAGCCAAGGGGAAACCTACCTGTTAGAGAATTTTCACAAATCAATTTACAGCCCCGAACCCTTCTCGAAGCACTAATTTTCACGGAGTTAGTATGCCCGACAGACAAATATAAAGTGGTCTGCAAATCACCCATAGCTGAGACCAACCAAACGCACAAAGGCGAGACGGAACAACGGTTACATTGTAGATATAATCCAACTATTCAATTCACTGTGCTGTATACTGAAATGGCAGCGTAATTGACACTCTTAGCGCACACGGCTGAAGGTCAACATGATGTTTCTTAGGAGCAGCTACTCATTCCAACAATAGAGATCTTATCGATAAGGTGTGAGTTAAGAGGAACTACTGGGGTTGGTACCCAGTGTGGTTATGAGTAAAAGGTGGATCACGGACGTCTGTCTGAGTTGTAGGTTTGATGGCCCGGTGCAAAGATCAGTGCATAAGAAGGCGACTTGGAACGGCCAATACTTTCAGTTTCACCGCTTTGTATCGCTCAAAGTGAAAAGGAAGTTGTTCCATTGCTTAGAAGACAGAGCAAGGAAGACTTTTTATTGAGAACACAATAAAACAAGAGCTAAGGTCCTTTCTTACTATCTTCACACACAATGGCTACCCGGAACAACTGGTTAGCAAGATGATTCAGTTCCATGGGAATATTGCGAAGAAGACCGATATCAGGAAGAAGTCGTTATACATTGCCTTGCCATTCATTGGGGATACATCAACAGAGGTACCAAAACGTAGACTATCTGGTGCTGTTAATGAGATCTAAAGTGCATTAAAGCTCAATGTTTTGCTCACGTCCCAGCCCATTGTCTGATTAAGACTAAAGGACAAATGCCGGATTCTGCCATCTCATTTTGTGTGTATTCATTAACGTGTTCCTGTTGAACAACCTATATAGGACACTGTCAGACGTTTATCCAAACGAATCCGTGAGCAGTACCCTAAATAGCTGAGCACAGGAACCATTAGGTCACTAGTGCACAGGTGTCAAACCTAGTTGAAATTAATCACACCGTGTGAATGTGACGGAGGCATTCCGCCTCTGCGATCTACTATCAAAGCAGGTTCGATGTCGTGCATTTGCCACAGCGGATGCGACCGGAATTATTCTGCACACCCCCCCCCTTCTGTGTGCCCAAAATCAATTTCTTCAGGCGCTTAAGCTCCCCTGACCCACCTCTCCCACACCCCACATCTCGAGTAGACCTGGCGATCGAATGTCCAAACAATTATGTGATCTTGACGGATTAGAACTGACCATCGCCTTCACTCACATTCTTCACCTCTTCCATTCAACCATTCACTTCGAAGCACTAGACTTGAGTTTCGCTCTTATTAGAACTCATCAGTTGACTGTGATTTAAATTTGAATTATGTGATCAATTAGAATCCCACATCCGGTACAAAGACGAAGTTAACCCTAAATAACCTATGGTATTAACTTTTCTTCTCCCAAAACAATTATTTGGTCTTATGGTTGAATACTGGTACATATATAAATATCGTGATATTTATTGTGATGTACTGGCATGACCACGAACCAATGAACACGAGCTTGTTGGTCATTATTTATTTTATTTTAGTTATTAGTTCAAAATTACTTGTTTCGTTTTGGGATTTACATACTACGATGAAAATGATTCATTTGTATGGTAAAGTTTATACCGCGAGGTAAGAATGTCTCTACAGAAGAGCACCAGGTGAGTTAATAAATGAGCAATAGGAATCGCGATTCCAATCATCAACTTCCAAGGACATTTCTATACACTAATTTTAAAACAAAACTCAAGAGATTCGAGTTTTGTGTCAAGCTTTTAGAGGTAACAGACGTTATTCTCCAAAACGTTTCTCCCAGTCATCTTGAGAGTATAACAGAGAGTGTTTATCTTACCGAATTGATTGAAAAAATAGTTTAATTAGATTTCTAGGTCAGGATAGAGGACAATCAGAGAGCTGCAAAAGAGGAGAACCTTTTGTTGTAACTGCATTTTTGTTTGTTTGTCTGTTTATTTTCTCCAGAAATTATCCGTAGAATCCAAATACGGAGAAGGTCTGTATATGCTCAATCGGTGTTTGGATGACATTGAGTATTTAGTCAAAAAACTCAAAAAGTACATTCGAAAACAACGTGAGGCTTCCAAAGGAAACGGTGGTAAGTGAAGCAACACATTATCTCTCACTCATATACACGAACACGAAAATGAATCCAATTTATAGCACATTGGAGGTCAATGTGCCGGTCGTTCATTGTTGAAAAGTGCCCTTATCAGTCGACTCCCGGAGAAGTCTATCGTCTGTCCGGACTACTCAGTAAAGCTAGGCACGAAATATGATGCTGGCACAGGTTTTGTCTCGTTAGTCATGTGCACTTTATATGTGCTATACTGCATTCAGAATAAATTATCCTGATGAATATACCTGTCCATATACCTGTCCTACTTTTTTATTTCACAAGTACTGCTGCTTCTCAAAAGGCGCAGTAGCTTCTTTTACAAATTAAAACTAACATTAGAGATCTGAGTGGCGAACTGATGTTTGAACTTTACACATAACACGCACACACACAACCCACGAAACCATTCATAGATGTGCGCCTCGAGTTTGGCCGAACGGGAAGTCATAACCAAGATTGGTTTGTGGTGTTTACTTTTCAGCCAAAGATCGCAAGTATAAAAGTCAGGGTGACAGTATACAGGTTTACAGAGATTGTCCAAACTGATGAATTGTTGTGATTATCCCCCCCCCTCCCTCCCTCCCTCACCAACTCCGTTGTGTTGCAGACCTTTCGATTTAGATAGGGTTATCGATGATGTGGTTGGATTTCAGTTATATGAAGGTATACTACACCTTAGCAACCGTTCCTTAAACCATTCACATTCCAATGCTTATTGAGTTGCTTAAATGAATACCAAAAATGAGGTTGTTCACCATTCTGCTCTGAAATTATAAAGTCTAAATCAAAAGCAGTGTTAATTAATAAACAGCTACGTGTTGGCATTGCTTTGATGCACAGAAAACTTCTCGTTGGAGGTGTTAATTAAATGCCGTGGCAGATGTTCTCCAGTTCAGCCGAGTACCTTACCACTTCTTTGAGCATTATTGGACATTAATAGATTCATTGGTTATTTTTGTCCACAATAAACTGTAAGCATTTTAAAAAGTTTACTCAAAAAGATATCAATAACAGTAGCTGAAGAATCTGAGTGATGAAAAATCCAGTTCGATTGTACCGCAGAATTTTCGATCTAAAATAGAAGTTCACCTGAGTAGTAGATTAACCTGGATTAGGAGAGCATCATTCACGTCAGTCATTCTTATTAAAAAGCCTTTCTTATCCAACAATCTTTTTACCATCCCTTTAAAAGTCCCGTAAAAGTGATATGAGTGAGAAAAACGCCTTTCGACAATCAGACAGAAATGCCTAGATTAAAACCGGATATGACGAGAGTCATAGATAATTGGATAATTGATAATGGATGAAAATAAACTCTTCACTGGTTGTCACACTGTCATGAGGCTACCAAGCGTTTCAACCATGGGCGTGATGGTGTTATAGATTGCTCAGCTGTTCCCCTACTTCTCTCAGTTTCAACAGTAACAAAAATTTGATTCTACCAGTCGGAAAGAGCTTCTTTTGAGACGCACATAAAAGAGACCGCTACTGAAGTATTGCCCTCAGATCACGATCCAGTAATTTTCTAATGTACCCAGGACTGAACAAATACTATCTTGCTTTGGTTACACCCAACAGATGTTATCAAGACAGATGACAAGCAAAGACTTGTAGGGATGAGACGACGAGTTTTATAATCAGGTGCTCCACCAAAATGCGAACGAAAAATAAAATGAATGGCTGACCGGCATTCGATTTCGCTTGAACGTGGGTTGTAGAACAGTAAAATAAGTAAACCTATTTTGAGAAACCGAGTCGGTAAAGCGAACAGTTGGTTTCGAATATTCCTCGTCAAACTCTTGCACTTCATATAGTGAGAAAATGCTTATATAATTGCGGCGATGAGCTCAATTTTAGGTAATTAAACGGAGTCAGAGGGTAAATGTTCATGCGGATGTCTGTTTGCGGGAACGTTTAATATGTTATTTGGAGTGACCTTTCTCCATATGGGTTAAGGGACATGTCTTGTTCTACCTTGGTCTTCGCACTAGACCGAGGCAATTGAAGCGATTGAATCAGTCGTTGAATACACAGGTTTGGTCCCAGAAAGTGCATGGCGATCGCAAAGGCCATGGCTGGTGCCGAACCTCCGACCACCTTCGACCGTTTGACCGGTATGCGATAAACAGAATTGAGAGCTTTCTCTGGTACGAGCTTGTGTCTACGAGAAGAAACACTATTTCGCTTGAGATAACATTGATCTTCCTCTGACTTAACCATCGCCGGCTGTGCTCCGCATGAACCTCTACCCCCTGTTTCCGATTGATGACCTAACATTGAGCCCATGGGTGTTATTATGTAAGCATTTTCTCACTATATGACATACAAGAGTATGACTAGGAATATTCGAAACCAATTGTTCGCTCACCGACTCATTTTCTGAATGCTGCCATGTGAATATCCCAACTTTTGAATCTACTTTTGTTAGTTCTTACCGTAAATTATTCGACCAAATCCCATTTATGCGCATTCGGAATTTCGTGATAGGGGTTGTAATTCAGTCTTGGCAAAAGCTACGAAAGTTGCCAAAGTACCTTTGGAGAGCGCTTCATCTGAATAAGTGACTTCCATATGCTTTCTTCATTTCTACGCGGTTTCTGCAAATAAAGCGCCAGATATGAAGGCGAAATCATGAGCGTGAGAAAAATTATGTGTAGGTATCACGGTAATCTTCTAGAAGTATTGGTTCATGTGCGTCATATCCGTTCAAGGTCTTAGTTTTCTCAGGAACTGTAGTAAATGTGCTCATATTACATGAAAAGCAGCAAACAATTCGTGAACATGAAAATCTGCTTGCTTTCATAATCACGTGGTTAGTTACAAATCAAAAGGCCATTTTGGTGAACAGGTACTCCGTTCTGTTGCAGTTAGATTGTATCACACAAACAGCTGATCTCCACTTTCCCCCGTTTGCATACAGAACCACGTGGCGCTCGCTCAATTCACTCGGAAACAGTTTAGATCTTGGATTCAAAATGCCGTCAACCAATCATTTCGATTCCATTTGCTCAATTCATCTGGTCTAATGTGTTTCTGATCGATAAGAGGCAGTGAAATGATATTAACTGATCTGTGCATGTACCTTCTGGGATCCTCGATCAATCATTTCCGTTTTCGTAGCCCCTTGAATTCAGTGTGCGGTTCGCAGACTTGATGATCATCTCGAGTGAAATCGTACCGAGCACTATGGGAAAAGAATTTTGATGATAAGCTTTTTGTAGAAACTACACAACCAGAATGCCATTTTTGTAATCGAAAAACAATATAGACCCATATACGCAGGCGTGGATCAATTATTAACATTCAAAGAATACAAATTACCTGCACTGATGATCTCTACCATTGTAAATTACTTTCACTGCATTTGTGATTGAACAGTTATTGCCTACAAAACAATACAACTATCTCGTAGGATAGCACCCTCCGTGTTAGTTGCATCGTAATAGTAAACGGCATTTCGTCATCTGGCCGACACCAATCCGCAAGAGCATACTGAACTGGCCTGACGAACCGTCTATTGAGTGTCTGAATCGTTCTATACAGCACTTTGATGAACGATCACCGATAAAAGCCAAATATTTGTTTGCAAAGTAGGCAAAGTTCTAGCATTAAAACTGCCTAGGTCGCGATCAGGCCCCACGAATACCGATTCACACTCCAACCATTAAATTGGATTAATCCAATTGAAGGAGGAGGGTAATCTCATCACCCGTACCACACTGATCCGTATTACACTCCCAGTCACACAATCATAACCTTTGGTCAAATCAAGGATTAATCATTAAGAGCGTTAAATCAACGTATGAATTAACCGTTGAAAATAATGGAGTACTTTGGACCGCGTGTTCTCATATCATTATGTGCATGTTGTGAAAAATGGAAAAATTTGATTTTATTCAAATCTATACATTTCTATGAGATCCCCACCATACTGTTAGCACACTTGAAGGACTTTTTTCTTTAAACTGGACTGGAAAACATATAACAAAAGCAAATAGCTTACAATAGATGGTCCACTTAGACTGCTTCACCCAAGGCATGTTAACAATCTGAAAAGTTCAGTGCTATTGGTGTGGCCTCGTATTTCGGCTAACAGAGCGTGCGCTATACAAAAACGTAGGCGGCGTCCATGCGTGGTTTCGAATGCCACCGAGGTTACTGAACTTCTCACAATTTCAACATAGGATTTCAATCTGCCAAACAACCATTTGAACACCTCAAAGTAATCAATATAGTTTAGATCTTCGAAATAAAGTCAAACACGAGACTCCTTTTTTGCAAAACATCCGTTATCCACTTCATCAACATAAGAAAACATTTGCTAGCGGAATTACAATGGGCCGTAAACTTCCTGTGCTCTCGTTCAGCTCTAAATGCACATTTTTACGATCATTTCAAACAAAGAAACATAGGAGTCGAAATGAGTCACTTGAACAAGGTGGTGGACAAGAGAGTTGTTCGATTGGGGTTTGGTTACCAGTTAAGGTCAAGTTAGATCACGAAATCTGATATGGAAGTGAACTGCTTCAAACAATGTGGCAAATACGATGGAGGGAGGCGAGGAGAAAAGGCCGTGTCTCACACTATGGTAGGGCGGCACCAATTGTGCCCTAATCTATTACCACGACTACAACAGTTGCGTCACAAATGCTATTTGATCACAATTGTGGTTTGATTAATTATCGCCTCGCAAATTCCGTGATCATCGAGGTTTCCTAATGACTCGAAACGCTTTGATGCGTCTACCTTGTGACCGGAGTTTTACAAATGTCATGCAATTGCACTAGACGATAGTTTCGCTCCGCAAAATTCGAGGTTTTCCGGGATATATTCGCACATTATAGATCATAAGTCGTCACATGAGGTTTGGCCCAATAATTGATTTATTTATTCATTTTATTTAGAGCAAATGTTGACATTTATCGCTGTGGTTAATGCTTACTCCGGTGTTATGCCCCTGTTTCGTGTGCTATCCGTGTTGCATAATATAATTAGGGGTATGATTAAATAGTTCGCAATCAAGTGAATCATACCGTAATTCTTGATTTTATGACGAATGAAAATTAACTAATAATATTTGCTGCGAATTTGAACCAACAAATAAATTCACAAATGTAATGGTTTTATCTTTGAGTTAGCGTTGCATTACATCGTAGTGCAAAATGAAACCAGTGAACTGCTTGAAAGACGGACATTTAGAAAAGAAACGTGAACCGGGTAGCATGTCAACCTCCACAGCTTCAGACCACTTAGAAAAAATAAAACTTTTATTCAGCGCCTCATCTCGTGTGTACCAACAGTCTACCGCAATAACTGGTCACAGAGCGAAAGGAAGGATTACCTTAATCATATGCAAATAGTTTTATTTCAAATAAATGACAAAAGACTTCACAATGGAAGTACCCAGTTGATACAGGAATCAACTAAAAGCGGTGATTTTTTTGTATGATCCTTCAGCAAAGATTGAAGTATGACAGAAGTTATCCATCCCACAGAAATGTAAAACAGCGACACTATTTCCAGTTCCTGCTTTGTTTGCTCCGTATGGAACGAAGTTTCCCGGATTACTTCAAATATCTATTTGAACAAGTTTCTCGTGTAGGATTGGGACAGAAAAGACAAAGGAATTTGGGCAGTTACATTAGCAGTTTCACGACGTTTTAATAACATATATAGTTTCTATAAAAGTGTAACTTCCGCCACCAATGAGATAATGCTAGTAATGGTGTTGTTACTTTTTTTCTAAAGATTCCATCAATCTGAATATTAGGGGATTTACGCAACTTATCAACGAGTGTCTACAGTGCTAATGAGATTCTTCTTCTCCTCTTCGCAGCACTGCCTTGTGGAATTATAACGCTATTAATGACACCCAGGAAGGGGTTTTATGGCATACTGAGGTGCAAACAGAAGTAGCAGTGAACATGATAGTAACGTGACCCACTGTTACTCGAGAGTGGGAATTGCACAAGACTGTGATACGATTGGTGTGCCATTGAGTCGGACAACAGCGTAGTTGCCTACCAACAGATTTGTGTGGTAGTAGAAAGGTTGCATCCTCGTTTATCTGGATGCAGTCCAATGAAGGTGGAGGATTGAAGCTCACAAGATATTTCATCTACCCCAGATTGCACACCGTTTATATTTACCTCCTTACTGAAATCAATACTGCAATTAAAGTTATTATATTCCCGACCGAATCGGCTTCCCCGAAATATCTTATCTGTGAAGAATATTGGGGAATGAACGGGAAATCTCCTGAATGAGCTCATGTGAATGTTTCCGTATTTTGTCTGAGCAGGTGCATCGCCTTGTCCTTTTATTTTATTGCTAATGATTGACTAGATCCAGTTCGCCCAAGTGTGCCACCGTCCGAGGAGGATGCGACAGAAACAATTAAAAAGGCCAAATTCGCCTTCAATCTGGCGGAATCCCTTAAAGAATGCGCCCCCGAGGCATTCAAAAAGGTGTTTATACGATTGATTACATTTGTGGACTGGATGGACGATCTGTGCAAAACAAAAAGTCTGATTGCCTTTTACCCGGTAAATATGGTACGTGATGCGATCGAGCCACTGTTGCAAAAGAACACATTGAATTCCATCAAGGAACTTCTGGATAGTACGCTCAAAGAAAAATGGCTTCAGTTGGGCAATGCTTGGAATACTCCACCGTAAGTTCTGCGAAATTGGACTGTTACATTTTTTTATGTAAAACTTAAACCCTTGGATGATGAGCAGCGACAAGACTGCCCCTTACCATTTACTCGTGGTCAGATGAAACCTATGAATGACGAACCTCACAAGACCCAAGTTAGGTAGTTATAGTATTTAGCCAGACAATAGCAAAGCTACCCACCACCAAAGTGAGGTGGAGTTGACGGGGTTCAAATCTCCAGTCTTAAGACCCGAGGAATTCTAGATTTCAACCGCTTAAACACTATAGTGCGTAAATTATTTATGCACAATCGGTGCTTTATTCTCAGCCACGGAAACACGCTATATACACTGAGTGAAATGCTAATGAAAATCAATGCTCAGTACTTTTTCACGTAGTCCATCAGGATTGGTTATTCCGACTGGCTTCGCGCATGAATCATTAGCACTGATTTTGCGCAAATCTTTCATTAATAAAAACTCACCAAACATGCATCACATACCTGGTGATAAATCTGTCGATAGGTTTTCATTATAACTTAGTAATCAATCTACGCTAACAGTGATTCTCGCTACCCGACAACTATGTTCGACTGCCCGATGACTTTCAAAAGAAACAAGTAGCAAGTAAACAGTGCAGATGTATACACAAAAATCGTGCACGACTAACTCGGGGTTGGTCATTTATCGCCGTATGAGCTATCATGAAACACTTCACGCCCTATTTTGATCAAATTTAAACCATGTAAGATTGCTGTTCTCCGTTGAATTCGACGTGTAAATGAGCTGAAAAGCTAGGAAGCACTGAACTGCTGTTTCGAACTGGTCGGGTCTCATCAACGGAGCGAATACATCGAGCCCGGGACCTCACAGGTGGAACACACGCCTATTACCCACACGGCCACCCGGCAGTTGATCATACTGTTTCTCATTTTGAATATACATGATATAGCGCAACCCATTTTTGAGAGCTTGTTACGAACATTGCTGCTCGCTCATCTCAGCACCAACCTCCAGGCTTATGATACGATCCTCGGTCTGGTCGATGGACTCGTACTAATTATGAAACCCAAATAGGTCGAAACAGCAGTCAAGTGCCTCATAGCCTTTCAGCTCACGCCTCATTTACAGGACGAATTACTCATCTATTCAAATTGAAGCCTCCAATCCTCTCAAATCCAAATGAAGCAACCATTTTTATGAAAACGCGACTGTGTCACGGGTTTGATAAATTCTATTTGACAAGTTGTACACAATTTTAGCTTAGGCTATTTTGAAGCAAAACAAAAGCGTTATTATCTAATATTCGGGACTTTCAGTTTACAATTATGACACACGAACATAGCCTCTATGTAAGCATTATGGTCAAAGTACAGTACAACAACAAACATACAAACGTATTATGTTTCGCCAACAATGCACTATGTGAAACAACTCAGAAGGTCAAGTTAACCAACCGCACGTGACATTTGAGTTTCTGTGTAGTTCGTTGTACACTGTAAAAGATACTATCCTTTATCAGTCAAAAGTGCACTGTCGGTAATAATTTATGAGCCACCAGTGTAATAAATTTAACGACCTCGGTTGCGCGAAATTGGCGCAACTCACAGTGAAGTATTTGATGCATAGGAACGACAGGGCTAGAGTTGTGATACATTCTGTAATTTTATGCTTTAGAATTGACATTAGGCACGGTGATTTCATATGCGCAGCGATGCAAGCATGTTTTCAGGTGAAGCAATTAGTTGGTGTGGGATTAACTGCATGTGTAAGTTGTAAGCATAGTGTTCAGTCGTTATGTAAATTGGAAACTGATGTCCGGATTGAAATTTGTGGTGTCCTCTCAACTGGAGTTCAGTGGACACCTAAAAAGGGCTTGCCAATGTGGTAGTCTCCTTCGTTTCGTTTCTAATGCAGCGAACATGATTCCTTGCCGCATATATTTAGCATTGAATAAGTTTTTTTCGGGTTGGCGTCTGTATTTGTACTACCATGTATTTTTGCTTTACATGAGTTTTGTCAATGCATTCCAGTGAACTCAGACGGTCATCGACAATACAAGCCGGTTTGGTGGAACATACGCAATCTCACAAACACGTGTTCTCTTTCACACGCATGTTTTGTGTTTACGTGCATTCGTCCACTTCATTGTACAGTTTACCGAACGCGTCTCGTCATTTCTGGTTGTTGGTTGTAGTCGAATGAGAAATGGGGTGGGTGGGACAGACATGGTCCAGAGGCTGTGTGGTCAGTCTTTAAAGGAATGCATTTAAAACACCATTTGACGCCGTGCGAAATGCATGCTTCCCCGTAGCATTTGGTCCCACTGTTCCGATCAAGCTCCGATCCGGAATGCGGCCTATGACAGGGTTTTGGTTTTGAAACTTGCCGGTGTTAATCATGTTATGTAAATACAGCTCGGTTTGTGTGTATGTCCCCCGATTGAGTTCCATAACTTTGATGCATCTCATGTTTGTATCGATTCTGAGCTGTCGGGTGCATGTCCATGCAATTTTTTACAAGAATTTCAAACATTTTAATCAATTCTAAAAAAACACTAGTGATAAAAACAACTAACTATTCCTGATTTTTTCATTTGATTATAATCATCTTCCGCGTATACTGGTTTTATATTCATGAGGTGAAACCAACACAGAATGCACTAACTATCATACATAGCTTGTCTCAACGTCAGAGATATTTCGGAATTTCGTTTTTTATTTGTATAACTTCGCACTTTCATGTGCCAATTTTAAATGATATCCTTTGCTCAGAAGTCGTTCGTTTGAGCAAACAAAATAGGTAAGTTCCACAGTAGTATCGAAATGAGGATACAAAATGCAGTTAATTTTGATGTGTGCAAGATTTGAGTAGATGGGTTATTTTCCCATTGTAAGTAACCACCGATTAGGTTAGTCAGTAAATCCAAAACTGGAAGCTGTGCCGGACAGGGCCTATGGGATTGTGAAATCAGTTTTGAGCATAAATTTAGCTCTGTCCATTAAGTAGAATCAGATACAGGGTAAATGTGCTTTCGTTAGACTCACAAGTTATGATCAATCATCCACCGTTATCAATACGGCTCTCCAATGCTTAACACTGTCAATGTTTTTCGGAGGGCTGAATTCGATGCATGCTATACAGAAAGAGCGTGGGAAGACAGGTGGTCAATTCGAGGGTAAAAAAACTATAGTGTAATCAATTGACCAATGAGATGCGCTGAACGGAAGCGGATACAAACAGAGTGTTTCTTTCTCAATTCAAAGTGACAGTCTCTCAGTTCACAGTGATGGTTTCTCAATTCAAAAAGACGGTTTCGCAAGTCAAAGTGATAGGTTCTCAAATTAATCTTAAAATGGTACAGAGTTAGGCAACAATGGACCCCACCCCATTGAGCCAGCCAACCCTCCCCAAGCGAACAAATTATCCCCCGATCCCGACTGATTTTACCACCGAAACTCCTTGAACAGTGAACATCCCCATTCGAGCGGCACAACAACATAAACGGCATCACTGTTGCGACAAATGTTGAGTTTTGTATTTGAATAAGCCACTTCGAATATTTTGGTGAGCTGTTATCTAGCAATCGCGACGGGTGGAAACCACAACTCGAAGTAATGATGACAACCTTTCAACTTTCTTAGATATCCTTTGTTACATTAACTGACTTTCCGAAAAGGTCATTGCAATCATTCGAAGCGAAGTACGATATGCGTTCTTATGCACTCCTGTTTGCAAACGTTTTGCACTTTTAGTGTGTGACCTCATATGTGGCAAGGCTGAAAGGTTCACTTGATATAATCAGTCTAAACTTCACACCAAGGCAACTGAACTCGCAACAACCCATAAAGCGTGAGACGACGGTCAATGAGAAAGGTTTTCTTGAGCCTCGGTTGTAAAATGAAGGTCATTATGCCTTTTACACGGTTGTAATTTCAAGTGAATCCTACTAATCGCGTTCTGTTGCGAAGCCCACAAAGTGATTGGTGTTTCGGTCGTCACATGTCACCGATTGGAGTGGATCTATCAAAATCCTATCTAGTCAGAATAAGCCCTTTTCTCCGTAGACAAACAAACGTATTTGTTGAGTGAGTTAACTTGCGAGGATGGGATGGGACTGGGGTTTGACTGCCCCCCCTCCCCAACCCGGGAAAGTTTTGTTGTTTGTTGGTTGTCAAAGAGGATCACTGTAGCGTCAGTTGATAATCCAAGAACAGAGTACACGTTTTACTCTCAGAACTGCTCTCAAAGAGAAGATCAAGCCACTAGACGATCAAAAAAGGAGGCCTCGAGTCTTCTAACACAAGAACCTGGTTCTAGCGTGGATGATCATAACTACTTTCCACACCTGTATGCGAAAATATCAATAATGCATTATTTCTTTCGCCACGATCAGTTTTTCTTTTTTTAGACAACCGCTTGGTGTACCCCAACGCACAACGAACAAAAGTTACGTTGGTGGGTTTCACCTTCAAACACAACATCAAAACTTCAACCTTTGGATGCGTGTAGACTTCAACAAATACGATTGAATTAAAAAAAGAGCTGCTGGCACACGTAGGTAATATTCCGGATTGTAGTTCCATCGGAAGGGCTCTATTTTAATATACGTGTGATGTAATAACTCTGAGTTTTCTTTCCCATGGTTTTCCTGAATGAAAATCCCTGGATAAAATAAGCCGAGCAAGAGATCATATGTTCAACTAACATGAAATTCCTCAAAAATGCTCAGATTTGCAACCAATCACTATCCATTTATGACTTTGCATCCGAACAAAATCGGTATTAGAATCTTAGGCAACTGAAAATATGATTTTTCTCACCACTTATTGTTCCTCTGTCGGATGAAAACAACACGCGTATGTCAGATGTACACATGTTAATCTGATCAATTGATGACAACGAACAAAATGATGGCCCAGTGCAATTCAAGCTGCACACATAGCGCTTAAACGTCCACTAGAATCGAGCAAAGTATTTCTATCCAAAATAGAAAACCCAGAAAAGAGGCAAACGCATTA